TAGATCCTACTGTCAAAAATATTAGATTTCTCAGGTTTCTTTCCCCGCCTCTGGGGATGAAAGAGACCTCAGACGGTAACATTCCACTGGCGGTCTGGTGCTAATGGGGTATAGTTTGGGGACAGGGGAAGGTAGGCAATACTTACCTGAAGCAGTCCCTTACAGCCCTATTTAGCTCCTGGAGCTTCACTTGCCAGGAGCCAACGTCAGCGCTGTACTTTTGCACATGCGCGTGTGTATAGAATTGAGGTCTAGTAATGATTACCCGAGTATCCTCCAGTATATCTTTTGGCTGGGATGGGATTTCAGAGAAATGCCAACACAGTCGATGTGATTTTATCTTTATGAAATACTCATTTTGGATGTGTAGGTTACAGAGCCGTTTTAAGGTAGAATGTTTGTGGAAGTCAGTATTATAGAAGGCCATAACACAAGCCAGCATGCAACTCAACAACCTCAGGAAGTATTTGGTGGGTGACCAATTAAACCCCTTAAGGACATATGACATGTGTGACATATCATGATTCCCTTTTATTCCAGAAGTTTGGAACTTATGGGGTTAAAGAGCTTTTTAATTGATATTAACAGGAATCCAGATTCAAAAAGTTATATAAAGATACATTAGTTAAAGAAAAGTGCCGCTTTACAAAGTTAACACATTAAAAAGACTTGTCACAGCTAAACATTTTATACAATTTATTGTAGTGATAGCTTAAAGGGACACTGTAGGCACCCAGACTATTTCAGCTCATTGAAGTGGTCTGGGTGCTGTCTCCCTATTGCACTTAGTGCTGCAATGTGAAACATTGCAGTTCCAGGTAACCAAGTCTGCCCTTTAACCCCTTCAGCCCCGCGGGAGAAGGGGCACCGTAGGGACCTATAGTGCCAGAAAAACGGGTTTGTGTTCCTGGCACTATAAGATTCCCTTTAAAGGAACACTACATTGTCAGGAATACAAACTATTTAGGTGAACGACCTCTCTGATCTTAGGAAAAAAAAAAAAAAAGGTGTTTTTATTCACCTTTATCCCTATGTCTCACTGGTTTTGCTGCGGCAGGCCTCACCTGGCTCTGCCTCCATGGCTGAGATCCTCAATCTTGATATCAATCCCATAGGAAGGCATTGAGAGGCTATTGCGCATGTGCAGCAAACCGTCACGCTGTATCAATCAGCATCTTTTCAGAGAGAGGCATTAAAATCAATCCATTTCTATGGGGAACATTCAGCGCCTCCTGGAGACGCTTAACGTAGGTGCTGCACACTGCAGCACTGACACAGGAAGTACCTCTAGTGGCAGTCTGAGTGACTGTCACTAGAGGTGTTACTAGGCAGCAATGTAAACACTGCCTTTTCTCTGAAAAGCAGCATTAACATTGAAAAGCCTGCAGGAACACGCTATAAACACCAGAAGCACTACTTTAAACTAGTAAACTATAAGGTCTCTAACTTTTCAGACCAGATATGTGAAGCACATTTCCCATGATGCTCAACCAGTTCAAATGATGGCTAAGTGTTATGGAAAAGGTAGTTCACAAACACCAAGATTAGCCATTACTAGTCTATGAGCTCTGTTACAATTTTCAGAGTAATATTCTGTTTTTCTGGTGCAGTAACCATGATAAATGCCTGTTAGAATAAATTGTACTAAAAACAACTCCATGTGAAAAAGGAAAATGCAAATTCCAATAACATTAGTCACTCGATCATATTCTGCCCAAACAAAAAGGCCAATCATATTCAGTCGCACATTGATAACATCAGATTGATCAAACCATAAGTGGAAGATAATGAGCACAGCACAAATGGGAATCATTAAACCATAATTTACTTCCACAGTGAATCATAATTGAGACCCGTTACTCAAGCCCATTTCGTATTTTTTTTTACCAGGTAACAATAAGCTGGGAACGATGACAAGTCTGAAAAAGTAAGCTTGTAAGTCATCCAAATAACATCAAAGAAGCCATAGATGGGTCCAATTATTTTACGGTTTGTGAATCGAATGTGCATGAAAAGTATTAATGCTAAAATGAAGTGGCCCTGTTTTTTTTTACCCAGATTGTTAAACAATGTAAAAAAAATATTGCAGGTTTGTAGAAACCGCAATGTTTACATTACCTCTAGTGACCATCATGCTGGCCGCCACTAGAGGCGGTTCCACAGCAATAACCAAGTTATGCTAAGTTAGTTATTCAATCAAATGCTTCTCAAAGAGAGCTTTTGATTGGTGCAGTGCGGCATTTTGCCACGCATGCGCACTTGCATCTTAATACTTTATGTGGAAGCATTGGATTGGCTGAGAACATCGGGGCTGAGAACATCAAGACCGATTATGTATTCTTAACACTAGTGTTCTTTTAAAAGTATACTATAATGCCAGGAAAACAATGCAGTATTCCTGGCATTATCGCACCCCCTGCCTCCCCTCTCCACGGTAAACAAAGGGTTAAAAACCCTTTATTTACTCACTTTATCCCAGCACCGATGTCCCTAAGAGCTGGGCTGGCGCTCCGCCCCCTCCGAAGTTACTCTGGGACGCCAGGAGTTTTTTTTTGTTGTTGTTTTTTTTAAAGACATGGGTCTTAAGGCACTTCTTAAACGACTGAAGACTAGGGGAGAGTCTGATGGTCGTAGGCAGGCTATTCCATAGAAAGGGAGATGCCCACGAGAAGTCCTGCAAGCGTGAGTTGGCTGTACGGGTGCGAGCAGCGGACAGGTGGTCACGGGCAGATCGAAGAGACAGAGAAGGGGCATACCTATGGATATCTGCAGAGATCTAAGAGGGGCTAGAATTGCTCAATGCTTTATAGGTGTGAATTAGTACCTTGAATTGACTTGTATAGGATACAGGAAGCCAATGTAAGGACTTATACTTGGATGGCATTGATTGGCTTATCTTGTCAGCTGATATACTCATGATATGAATAAAATCTAAAACATGAAATATATTGTTAATGCCAAAACAGACATGAAACCTCCAAATCATGATCAAAATGGAGTGAGAGATCTATGCTGTGGGTGCAAAGCTTTCCTTCAACTTCTCCCGAAAACACTAGGTAGACTTTCAGGTTTAAAATTTAGTTTGTAGCCCTGAGAACAACAGCCTAGAAAAATCCAGGATATCATGAAGCTATAACACAACAAAACCATTCAGCAATGACAGACAATGAATAGAAAAGTGGGCACCCTATTCTTACAGCCCAAGAGTGAAGGACAGTGGGTTCTCAAACTATGTCGTTATTGCACACCCAATACCCAGTTTTATTTCCGTATTCAGACAGGAACAGCAATGTAACGGAGCTCCCTGTACTCCGACCGAGTACCCTCCGTTGAGGGACGCTTCCTAGCTTGCGGCGAGGACCACAAGAACCGCACCGGACACAACAACCACTGCAGGATCCGCAAGCGCTGTAGCTTGACTGGAGTCTCGCTGTCTTTCTTCCACCTGGATCAGCTTCTGTCCTCCAGGACCGTGTGGGAAAGACCTCTTTCACCCTGTATGAACCTCCAGCATCCAGGACTGTGTGGGGAAGACCTCTCCTCCAAGAATAGCGTGTCAGGAACAAGCTCTTAAAGGAGCTAAGTAATTCAAGCTATGGGGAGTATGCAGAGCATAGCAATCCCCAGTGTGATTATAACAGCTCCCTCCAACAAGGTTACATTTAGAGGGATCAAGACAAACTGTCTAAACCTTTATTTTACTTGGGACTAGCCCATATGGTCATTACATTAACAATGCTGTGAAAACTCAATAAAATTACAAACAGCCAAATCATAGCAGGCAACATACAGTGACTTATTATAACACAATGGCATATTTTTAAAGGGGTGGGGAGACAATATTTAACAGAAAATATCTCACGTGCCTGCAGAATTAGCAATATGCAAATCTACCCGAATATGAACCAGTCTTGCTATTCAGGTAGTGCATATTGCTGTTGCTACCAACAGAGGGCACAAGACAAGCTCCATTGCCAAATCCACCTAGTTGGTAGCAAACCTCAGCAGTACAGGAGAGCAGGCAATACATTTCACAGTACACACACACACTACAAACAATTATATTACACACACCCTGCACCAATAATGGATGCAGGGTGACTAAAACATAAGAGAAATAAAGCAACCTACATAAATAGTCTGTCTGAAGGTAGAATAGGGGCTTTAAAGCCAAATACATCAAAGAGTCATAGTCACAGGGGAGGAGGCTGGCAAGCAGGCCTCTCCAGGACCAAGTGGCGAAGGGCCCTTCGTCACAAGCGATCTGTGTGTTTTGAGGACAAATGTGACAACCACTGGTTTACGATAGGGAGTTAAACCAGTAACTGTAGAGAATTGCAATAGTATTCCACATTTCAGCCAAAAATATCAGGGACACTATAGTCACCAGAATAACAACAGCTATTTTTGAATTTGTTCTGGTCAGCATAATCATTCCGTTCAGGCTTTCTGCAGTAAACCCTGTATTTTCAGGGAAAAGCCTAGAGATACCTCCACTGGCCAATCCTCAGATGGCTTCTAGAGGTGCTTCCTTGGGCAGTGCTGTAGAGTAAGCAGCACTGCCATTCAGCGTCTCCACCCTCTCCATGCAGACACTGAATGTTTCTCAAAGAGATGTACTGATTCAATGCATTTCTATGAGGAGATGCTGATTGGTCAGGGCTGTGTATGACTTGCACTGGCTCTACCCTGATTTGCCTCCTTGACAAGCTCAGCCAATCCAATGCTTTCATATGTGAAAGCATTGTGATTGGCTCAGAACAGCAATTCTGATGTCAGGCAAGGAGGCAGATCTCAGGCACAGACAGCAGCCGCAGACTGGAATATAGGATCACTATAGGGTCAGGAACACAAACATGTATTCCTGACCCTATAGTGCTAAACCAACCATTTAGGTGGCATGCCCCCCCCTTTTCCCCTCTATAAAAGTTTAACACTCACCTGATTTCGCGAGGGTCTGCCGGCGCTGGTTCCGTCCCCTTTGTGACATTATCAAAATGGCCAATTTTTAGCCAATCCAATGCTTTCACTATTTTTTCCAAAGGGAAAGCATTGGATTGGCTAAAATTGGCGTGTGGGCAGGGCCATATGCTGTTTTGGCCAAACAGGACCTGCACTGAATCAATACATCTCTACGAGGAAAATTTAGCTCTCCATGCAGAGCGTGGGGACGCTGAATGGCAGGGCTGCTGAATGTAAAAACTGAAGGGAACTATTATACTCACCAGAACAACTACAATAAGCTGTAGTTGTTCTGGTGACTATAGTGTCAATTTAAGTTTCAATATATGAGCAAGTCTATGTATGCATCAATTTGTAGAGTTTCAAAAGAAACTCTACATTAAGATTTTACCATTTTCTAAGTATGCCCTGTGATGCACAGACAGTAGAAACAAAAAAAATAATGGCTTTTTTTCTCAAATAAAGCAGAGCTTGATACAAGAACTCAAACATGAAACGAGACACTGGAAAGTCAAATATAGTGAGTATTGCCATATTATTATTATTATTATTTTATTATTTATATAGCGCCATCACATTGCGTAGCGCTGTATATTGGGTATTGTATTCTGTATAAACACACATTTTGCTTAAACCCTGTGATTTCATAAGACTACACCCAAAGAATGTGGTCAGAATTCTGCACACAAAGTTTAAGAAATGAAAAGGTAAATATTATAGCAGCCTTTAGTGAGTGTTTTATTTACCATGTGTTTTCAGATCACAGGTATCACACCTTGGATTCACTAAGGTCATTTACAGGAAATTGGTCTGCAGTCTACAACAAAATGAGTCTCCTCCTCCCGAGTCTGCCTGGATATTCTGCTCATTGTGTGATACAGACAGAAGCTGCAGTCTGCAGTACAAGGAGACTCCTCAACCATATTCCAGCTTCCTACACTTGCCATATGATACAGATCGAAGCTGCAATCTTCAACAGTTTGAGGGAGGTTAATCCAAGCCTCGCGTGTAAAAAAAAAATGGTGAAGAGCAATCACTATGGAAACCAGCAGACACATTCCATTGGTGACTACTCCCTTTTTATACATTTTTATTATTTATATAGCACCAGCAAATTCTGTAGCGCTGTGCAAATTTTACATCTACGTATCACTTTTGAGAACAACACTTTCAGCGTTATTTACTAATGTGGGAATTCGAGTAGAATTTCACATTTTGGACCAAAATAGTTCAACCTGAAGCACAGCTGACTTGGGAGAATAGTTTTCAAGTCAGTTACTTTGGTCTTAAAGAACTGCTATAGGCACCCAGACCACTTCAGCTCAATGAAGTGGTCTGAGTGCCAGGTCCTCCTAGTTTTAACCCTGCAGCTGAAAATAGCAGTTTCAGAGAAACAGAGTTAATCCAGCCACTTCCACGATTCTCAGTGTGAAAAATCGCATTTAACTCACGCAGCGTGAGTTCAGATCCCCATAGGAAAGCATTGAGTAATGCTTTTCTATGAGCAGTTTGAATGCGCGCTCAGCTATGGCCGCACATGCGCATTCGGCTCCACTCGGGAGCTGACGTCAGCAGGGGAGGAGAGGTCACCAGCGCCAAGGGAGCCCGGCACTGGATTAAGGTAAGTAGCTGAAGGGGTTTTAATGCCGCCAGTCCAGAGAGAGAGGGGCCCTAATAACCCTATAGTGCCAGAAAAACAGGTTTGTTTTCCTGGCACTATAGTGCTCCTTTAAAGGGTACCCTGTCATGGTAAATACAAATTATGCTCTTTTTAAAGAGCATAACATTTCATCTATATATCGCGCTAGCGGATTTTCCGGCAAATGTATGGATTAAGAGAAAAACACATTTAAAAATAGTTATCTCATCTGTCAGTTAAATCTGCGGCATAAACTGACAAAAAAAGAAAAGACCTCCTACAGGTGGTTCTTCTGCTGTTAACACATAGCAGCCACAGAGGGTGCGCTGCAGTTGCCAACTCTATAGTCAGCGCTGCCGACGTCACGCCGGCATATGAAGCCAGTGTGTCCGTGTCACTGAGGAGGTCTGCCCTGCTTGGGGAAGTGTCCACAGGCAGAATAAATCAAAGAAGAGAGAAGACTACCAAAGGTGGGTGTTGCAACAAGAGTAATACCCACAAAGAAAGCTCAGAACGTGGAATGGAGGGTAAGGTGAGCAAATCGCAATATTTTATCTTGAATAATATCTCTGTGATATACAATGCATTCAATACATTTGGGGGTATTAAGCTTAACTTAATATTGGCATGAGAGGTTCACTGAAATTCCAACCCAATCAAGAGAATACGACTACTTTGGCTTTGTACATCTCCTCCGCCTATTTCCTGACACAAGGCAGAGCCTATGTGTCAAGACCTGCAGCCGTCATCAGTGACAGCTGCAGGGTATTGGCTGGGTCCATCGAGGATCCCGCAGTCTTGCGGGATTCCCCATAGGCCTGAATGCTGTAGACTTACGCAGGCATGAGAGTACAGCAGTGGCGTTGGCTCGAGTTGAGGAAGAGCAGCGCCACCAAGCCCGCAAAGGACAGGTTCAGGTAAGTAATCTCACTTTTAAACTTGTCCCCTGGAGCCACCATCAGGGTACTTTGCCGAAATTCACTTCTGAATTCATGGTAATTCTCAATTAAGAAAATATTTAAATAAATAAATAAATAAAAAATCCCCCAATGAGTTTCCTTCCCAGTTTGCCTGCTTATCATGTGATCCAGATAGAAACAAGTCTTCTCTCCAGCTTAAAAATTCCCATTACTTGTTGCAACGCATTGTTACATATTAGAGATAACTTGGGCAACCCATCTGCTTGCTTCCAAGATTTGTAATGTGCTGCCAAAGCTTCTTTAATTTTTAATACGGTCACACTAGGAGCAGGGGAATATATTACCCATATTAAATGCTGATAATTTGACATAACGTATTACCAACACAGTGTTGTTCTAACAGAAAAATAAACAACAATTCTAAATTATCTGATTAATTACAGCAGGGCCTACGGCAATTGAAACTAGACCCCGTATAGTGTACGAAGCCTTACTGCAAGGCTTGATAAACCTAGGAGGCCATGTCACCATGGAGACGAGAAATTGTCTCCGGGCACCCTGGTTTAATACGGTGTCGGAAACAGTTCTAGAGCATCACACAGTATGTGTCCCACACCATGCTGCCAGTTATCAACACAACACTTGTGTATGTCAAGCAAAACTGAACAGCTCAATGCTATAGTATTACATTTGTTGCAGGCCCAGCTTATTATCAGCGCCTTGCCTTATGCTAGATTCGTGCGACTAAAGCAGCAACATAACTTCGGAAACGCTGGCGTATGGAGCGTTAAGAGATCTGTGCTGCATAGACATTAACTATCTCAGGTATGGTGTGGGTGTATGCATTGGCTGCTGTTGCTAAATGTGTCATGTGACTGCTATACTGCTACCATATGAACTTATTTTGTTTTGGGGACTACACATTTTATATTTATCATGGGTACAGGGAGTCATAAGGATGCTATTTTATGGTCCCTTCTATGAAGTAACAGGGGTCGGCCTTGGATGAGGTTTAGGTGCCGTGAAAAAAAATTGAAGATTGGTTTCTAAAGTTTGGATCTGCCTCCTAAAACAGAAAAAAAAAAAAAAAAGTTGTCAATCATGGTCTTACCTGGTGGTTTAAAAATTTAAAGTAACGCAAAATTAGCCAGGCCTTGAAAGTTACTCATGACTGCAAGCCTGTAGGATACATGGCACACTGACATGGGTGAATTCTGGAAATGTTTCACCCTGTATCACTGGATATTTTACATATGGTTGGAAATCAAAATTGGTCTTTCAAAAGGATTCAACAGTTTTCATAAACCAATAAAGTAAAACCATAAATAAGGAACTCAAAGGTACAAAGACTGTGTTGATCAAAATGCATGCATTTAATTGTGCATTTTTTCATTGGAGTTATATCTAAAAAAAACTTGCAAAAACTGCTGGTCTCTTGTCTGCGGTCTTTGCAAGACCTCCCCTTCTAGCCCCACCCAGAGTTTTTGTTGCTGTCCAATCACAGACTGCCCAATATGGCTCAATAAGAAGTCTTTGGAAGGGAGATGCTCTGGGCAATTGCTGCCTCTTGAGTTCAGTGTAATTAAGCTAACCAAACCAGGAAGTAACAGGACCTGTTGCCTGTTTGAAAAGCCAGGGGCTTATAACGAATATAAACTGTAAAAATGTCAATTCCTATTGAAAATCAGCACTATTTCCAAAAAAAAAAAAAAAACCAAAAAAAAAAAACGAGGACACTCTCCACACAAAAAGCTAAAGGTTCTGGAGTGTCCATTTAAGGGAGCATATTTCAAACTTTCAATCAAAATGGACAAACTGGAATCTTAATCTTTAAATATGAAAATATTTGCTGCCAAATCAAATACCTGCTTTTAAGTTACAATTGGGAGACTCAATTCTACAACATGGAAATGAGAAGGTTAAAATAGACATCACGGTATCTAAAGCAAAACGGAGATCTGTGTTTAAATAATGACAACTCACTGATAATTTGTCAATTATTTGTAAAACCACTGCTACCCCCCCACCCCCCAAAATAAAATGTTGAAAATTTGATAAAACCAAAGACTGGACATGGACTGACATTTTTCCATTCTTTGCCAGCAATGAATGGATGGATATGTATTGGTAATTCTCTCTCTCATATACATATACATATACATATACACACACACACACATATATACACACACACACACACACACATACATACATATACACACTTTTTTTTTTAATATTAGTTTTTTTCAGAGGGTAGGGGGGAGCATTATAAAGTATCTAAAATGTACAGATAAAATCAGAGCATCAGAAAACGCGCCATTATCTGCCCGATTCACAGCTTGAAACCCAGGCAAGCATATGTAGCATCTAATTTCAAAGGAGAGGATACAAGATTCTCCAATGTGGCTAGCAAGAGCCAGAGGAGGCTACAGGGCAGTTATTTATGAATATCAGGAAAATTAAACCATTTAGCCACCTGCACCATTCATTGAGATTCTGAGTGTTTATTAAAAAATAAATAATAAAAAAAAAAAAAAAAAAATTTAATTTTTTT